TAACGTGTCTCATGTTGCGTCAAACTCAATGCCAGTAAGGGCTTGACAGGCCAAACATATAGCGATAACGGACACTAAAATACCTGCATTAACATAATAAAAAATACATTTTACAAATTTCACAAATACATACATGAACCAATATTGAAGTCATAGACGTATTGCTGGGACACCACAGATAACCACTACATCGACTACAGCTAGTCACTCAGTGGAAAGTTTTATTTAGGCCTATGGAGCAAGCCTAATTTCTTCTCTTTCTCCATATAAGGAGACATTTTTTGCGAGGAAAAAAAGGGTTCCATTATCACTCTGCAGAGGCTGTCCCAGAGTCCTTGTTGGCATAATTTCATTAGTATGGAGATCTAAGAATAGTCAAGAGACTAATGGCCCTTTTCCACTGCATGGTACGGTTCAGTACGGTTCACTTTTGGGGGTTTTTCCACTGGGTACAGTACCTGGTACTTTTTTTTAGTACCAACTCGGTTGAGGTTCCAAGTGAACCATACAGTTACCAAAACGTGACGTGTAAACTCTGCTGATCACTGATTGGCCGGAGAGAATCGTCACTACCTGCGTCACTGAACTTGCGACACAAACACAACAGAACCGCTAGATTTAAATCAGCACAGCCAGCGAAGGATCGAACACAACTGTTTTGAACAAGCGCACCTTTTTTTAACAACCAAAAAATGCCAAAAAAATGACTGTTTCGTGGTCTGTTGAGGAAGTACAGTTGTTCCTCTCCTTGATAGCAGAGGAGCGGATCCTGCGAGAGCTTGATGGGGCGACACGGAATGAAAAAGTTTTTCTGGAGTTGCGGCAGTAGAGGCGGCGCAACTATAACGACATGTGAATAATCCCGCCCACTCTAAAGCAGTACTAATCTGTAGTGGAAACGCAAACCGAGCAGAGTCGTACCACGCTGTGGAAAAGCGTCATAAGAGTAGACCATGGACTAGAACCTCAGTGTGTGACATTCAGCTCAAACATGAACAATTACTGATGCACAGCATGCAAAAACACTGTACAAAAGAAAACACTGCATTTGATGGTAGACTTGAATGGATAGACACACCTAGATGCCCATGATTAAATCATCTGATATTTTTATGAATGAGATTTTTTGGGGGAAAAAAATTCCACTATGGATATTTTCTTGCGGCCTCTCACAAAAATATTTTAATGTTCTTGCAAGTTACAACGTTTTGAAACACCTGGAATAGCATGCCTCCACGTTTGTTTCTGACAACTAGACAGTTGACGCCGCAGGCTGTCATCTCCACATGAATGATCTGCAATCTTCAGGGCTTAGTTTCATCCAAAAACCCTGAGGGCCTCTGCAGTCTACTCTTAACTCAAGCAAGAGATTGACACCTCTAATTAAAGAAGGCATCATTAAAAAGCAACACTCCGAAAGAGATCACATTTAAGTTTATTTGTCTCATTTTCTTAAAGGGGTCATATGATGCTTTTTTAAAGATCATTATTTTGTGTATTTGGTGTAACAGAATATGTTGACATGCTTTAATGTTCAAAAAACACATTATTTTTCAAATACTGTACATTATTGTAGGTCCTCTATGCCCCGCCTCTCTCAAACGCTTCGTTTTCTACAAAGTCCCTCCTTCCGACAAGCACAGTCTGCTCTGATTGGCCAGCTGACCCAGGGCATTGTGATTGGCCGAACACCACAAGCACGCGTCGGAAATGTAACCCTTACCATAATCGCAGCTTCAATCTTTCAAAGAAAATATCAAGACAGTTAATAATGTTGTTAGTTTTACCATCAGTTCAAGCCCGAAAGGGCAACAGAGTCGCGTGACAGACACAGAGATGATGCAGTACACAAGCCGCGGTTAAGACAACTGACGTGCTATGATTTCTGACAGGCAGTTCACTCGTAGATATGTGGGGTGTGTTAGAACGAGCCGTTTTAGGGGGGCTTAACTTTGATAAAGAATATCTCTTTGGTTTTGAGACTTTAGTCTTTGCTACTTCAGGGATCTTATCTATGCACAATCAGCTTGTAACACTCCAAAGAGAAAGGAAAACTTGAAATCGCATCATATGACCCCTTTAAGCATTCGCAATCTCTCAAGCACATCATTTGCTGAAACAGGCATTTTCCTTGTGCTGCTGAATGCCCAATGGAGCCAATTTAACTGAGAACGTACATATGTTTGATTAGACAGTCCACTGCCAGATGGTGATCCCTAACCACAAAACCAAGTGCCACTATCACTAATGACAGCAACCAACAGTCCAAAAGAAATGGAAGCTGTAAAGATACACATATTTAAGCTTTATTGGTTCATTATCATTATCCAACAGTTAGTTGGTTCCTCAAATTTGATTCAGTAGTGATATTTACTGTTAAACTGGGACGTTTCACTCTAGTCTGGAGTATGCAGAATGGAAGTGGGGCGAGTTTTTCAAAGTGGAAGTCAAAGCATCCACATTTTCTCTCACAAATGAGCTTTTTGCATTTTTTTTTTCTCAGTGTGTGGGAAGTGAGAAAATCCCTGTCACTAAAGTCCACACATACGCTATTCCAAACCAGGAACATGGAAACCTTACTTGTACTTTTAGAACTATGAGAACAAATGTACAAATTAACTGTCATTATTCAGGCTATTAGAACTTGCATTCATGTAGTAATAATGAAGACCACCACGACTGTGATTTCCAGCAGTTTCAGGTCTACAACAGAATCACTGTTATACTGATATTAAGTACAACAGCATGAATGCAAGTGTGACATTGCTTGTATTACCAAAATGATAATCATCTAAAACTGGTCAACATACATTTGTTCCCATTATTATTGTGAGCATATATGTTTTCGGCCAGCTGATGCTGGGCAGGAGTTAAACAAACATGTTACCATGACAACATTAGGTTGAGATTCACTGGTGTACATCAAAAACATTTACATACATTTCCACATAAAATCTGTGCTTAGTACTAGTCACTGCTTTCCATGATAGAATGACAAAAGAAAGGATGTTCGTCTATGAAAGTAGGCTACAGTTTAGGGTAAATTTGGGTTGAGTAATTAATGTCAACATCTCAATTAATAATGTCACACAAAGAAACAAACAGAATGTGAAACCTGAATACACTACAAATCACTTTGAATGAGCGTGTCTGCCAAATGAAGAAATGTAGAAGCGAACAGAGAGGAGAAAAGATGCATTAGAGACAGACAGGCTGGGCTACGCAATTTTATGTAATCAAGCATCATATAACAGCAAAAATGCACGGTAACAATGCGAGGAAGTACAATAAATCTCTGGTTACAAAATCATACAAACCCCGAGTAAGTTTACGACCGACTCGAAAGAACCGGTCCATCTTACCGTGAACTAAACTGGGTCGACAAAAAACAGGTGTCAATACCTAAAGGCTTTGTTTTCGGACGTTCGTGCCTTTTCGGTCTTAATTCATCTGGAAACACGCATCTTCAAGAAGACACATGACAGCTTTGGACCCGGAGACCTAACGTTAGCCTCCCACAACACAGGTCTGATTAGTATTCATCTTCTGTATCCAATCTCAACGCTCCCATAAATACATCTCTAGAATAAGCAAATAATCTGAATTGATGGATTACTGCATTAGCAGTAAATTTCAGCCCAGTATCCCACAGTTAGCTCTTGATAGCTCTCTAGCTAGCGGACTCTACACCTCACCACAATAGACGGCGAGGGGGTCGTTGGGTTCACTGGCTGCAGCTGAATCAAAGCGGAGAAACTCACCATCTAGGTCTCCTTATCAGTCTGCTGAAGAGAAAAGGGGTGAGAGATCTGCTGCCCGGTCCGGTCCACTCACTGTGCGCCAGTCGGTTGAAATCTCATTCGATTCCTCCGCTGGTCTAAACTATTGACTTCTCCGATTGAGCTAAATGAAATGTACCAGCACACGCTGAGATCATTCGAGCCGTCTAGAGAGCTTGACGTGCTTTCCCCCACCTCACGCTTTTTAACGGACGTTTTTTTATTTTTTTTATTCAGCAGGATGTCGCACGCGATTGGACGCAGCTCCTCGCGCTCTCCTCCCACCTCAGAATTTCCGTTTATTTTCGGATGAGACTTTTGCGAGAAATAGCCGGATTTCGCCTTTTTCTTTCCCGTAGTCTTTATCCAATCGTTAGTGACTAATATATGAGGTAAGTAAAAGGCAATTAAACATTTTTGGCCATCGTAATGTAAAAAATGATTTAGCTTTGACTGACAGTCTGTACAACTTGATATTGAAGGATTAGTAATTCACACCGTCATGTCTTTCCAGACCTCTATGGATTTCTTTTCTTTGCAGCATTTAAGGAAAATTTGCAGAATCGTGCATAATCTTGTTATTTTTTTTTATTTTTTTTTTTCATACAGTGACAGTTCAAGGGCTGTCAACCTTCAAAAATGACAGGAAACGCCATTAAAGCCTTGTTAATCAGGCCGTGCAACTCATGTGCAACATTCAAAGTCTTCTGAAGTCATAGAAGAACATGAAACACTAAAAATACTAGTAGATTTAGATCATGTCATACTAATTTGTTACTAAAAAATTTTAAAATTAAAGAGCAAACTAACAAATCTTTGGTATAAGGAGAGTGATGGGAACATGAAGACCTCATTGGTGGTGACTTATTGGAAACAGATGTTCAGGAGTCACCTTTCATGGCAAAGGGAGGTGGTACTGACAATTTTAGTGTAACATTCAGTGAAGTAATACAATAGGGAAAAAACTAAGCATCCACCACCTGGTGGGAAGATACCAGCATTGCAGCTGGGAAATATGCATATATAAATAATGAAAGATTACAGCTTTTTGTTTTGGTTCTTAATATGGCTCAAAACCACCTTTGTTTGGCCTGCACAACATTAGCATGTGTCTGTATGTAATCCTCTATAGATTGTTAAACAGATGAGTTGGGCCAATTCAGTGTGTAAATAAGATTGACTGTAGCTGCAATTTTGTTTTGGAAAAATTTGGCACATCAGGCTTAAAGTTGTTCAGATCTGGGCTGGAAAGTTAGTGACTGGACCTCATTGAGGCTTAATTTAAATGCCTCTGATCTAGAGGAGTCTACACCAGGGGTCTCCAACCCTGCTCCCAGAGAGATATTTCATCTTGCAGGTTCCAGCTCCAACCCCAATGAAACACCAGAAGCAGCTAACCAGGGCTTATAGGCAGGTTTGTTGAACCGTAGTCTGCAGGATGGTAGCTCTCCAGGAGCAGGGTTGGAGATCCCTGCACTACACTATGGGGGTTAAAGACTGCTCACATCACATGCTTCTGAGCACCTAAAAGCAACTCAAGTCATTAGCCCTGAAACTTGCCCACCACAGACTAAAGTTGCAGATAAACTCACAGTATGATAAATAGGATTTATTTTGCCATTGTGCAGTGAAATTACACTGGACCAAAACTGTCCTTGACTCTGATGGGTCCAACAAATGCTTGGTTCCATCGCAGATCTGCAGAAAAGAAATGGTGAAAACACTACAAAAGTATTGTAATGACTTTGATTACTTAATTTTAACTGTAGGGAATTAATTATTATTAATTCATTCAGGTTTATTTCTAGCTCAGGTTTTGAAAGAACTCGATCTGAGAATTCGAGGTCCACCTGATCAAAACTGATTCTGAATTTAAATGGTTTACACTCTATCAGCTACTCGGCCAGCGAGAAGTTAATGTCAGTGTATATTACCAATTGAATATGTATTTTATGTTCTCCCTGGCCATGGGTTAACACAATTATGATAATTTGTCAGCTCTTAAGAGAGAGGTAACGTTGATCTTGGCAAAGTTTTAACCTTGAAATTATATGACACCAGACAATTGATTATTTATAAATGAAACGTGAATTTTATTGGCTATCCTAGATTACATAAAACTAACTAAAACACGCACACACATGTACAGTTTCCTAGACTGCAAGTTGACTGAGTTTCATAGTTCTACCTCGTTTTCACGAGTGATGTAAATTCACCTTAAGAATTTACAGAGCAGAGAATTGTGGTGGCCTGGCAAATCATTAGCTCCGTGTTTTCTTTGTAAAGATAAGCAGAGCGAGACAGGAACTCATTGGAGAAAGTTGCCGCCTGGCTGGCCATGGTTCAGCTTTTTACGACTCTCATATAATGGTGTGAAGTTCGGGAAATGCCTTACAGTATGCAACCATACAGTCTACACATTCCCCCTTGAAAAATTTAATCACGTGCCTTCAAGAAGCGGATCACTTCCACTCCTAATGCCACAGGTTGCGTCACAGCAGCCACACACCTGATCATCCTCATCGGCAGACACCCACCTGTCAAATAAACCAAGCATTAGATACTCACACTGTTATTGGGGTACTTCAATTCAGTGGCAACATACCGATTAGCAGAGAAGGAGCAAGCTTTCTGCTCAACATTAGTAGGGGTGGATGCTGCAGCCACCTTGAGAACACAAGTGATATAGACCTACAAAAGAGAAAGTTTACTTGTATACTCCATCCAAATATGCACCCAAACAGCTAATCCACATACATACAAATCCACTAATCTCTTTTTGGAATTTGAATGCCTCCATCTGAAACTGAAGCTTGTCAAATTGTGTCCGGGGCATGAATCGAGATCTGGAGCCTGTGAGCTTGGCATCAACTAGGCACCTAGAATGTGTGTGGAGGGAAATAAAAACCGTCAGACCTTACAGGACACCACAAGTGAACAGTACTTGAAGGACCTTGTCTTACCCATTGTTCTCAATAAATGAGTATCTGGGGATAGCACTTGTATCAGGGACTGAAGTAGCCACACAGCGGTCCACAAAAACACAAAGAGGAACATGGTTATTTGGCCTCACTGAAGCTTCAATATTAATGAAATCTCCCAAATAGTACTGGTTAGCAGGTCGCTCAAATCTCCAGTCATCTGCAAAGAAAGAAATTTATCCCAGGTTCACAAGCACTGGCATACAAACACGTACATTATACCAACCAGTCATGAGCCTGAGGGAGAAGACCAAAAATTCTTCTGCAACTAGAGTAGTGGCATATGGGATCCAAGTGGGCATTAAAGCATCGCTACTCACATTATGCGCTCTATAAAAGAGACAGGCAGTCACTTTTTACAGTGCATATAATATTAGCACATCCAGTAACCCTGAATGAATTCAGCGATTACCTTGGATAATGACACTCAATACCAACTACTGCACCACTGTTTCTGACAATAGGACCACCATATGAAGCCTGTTTTGGGGTGTAGATGATGGAGAACGTATAGACAAGCTCATTTTCAGTCACCTAAATAGAAAAAGATTACAAGAACATTAATTGCAGTGTAAAAAAAAAAAATATATATATATATATATATATCTCAAACCGTACCAATGCTTTTGTCTGAACACCCAAAAGATCTTGAGAAGGCTTTCCAATGTCACTCCTGGCTGGTGTCTGGACAGGAAACGGAGCAGAAAATCTTTGGCGTGCAAATACAGGATTACTGGGGTCAAATCTCTGGGGAACCTGAGGGATCCTGTTTTCAAACCGTTTAGGAACTGAGGACTGATTAGGTGTTGATCTTCTTTGCCATTGTGCTTCAGACAAGCAAAATGCAAGAATAAACACCAATCCAAAACAAATGTACCTCAACCCCATATTCAAAAACCTTCAGATCCTTAAAGCTGATCCTTGATCGTTTCCTTTATGTATAGTAGTTAGATAAGCTTGGTTCCACCTCTCTAGCATCAAGCATAATCGTTGCCTGGACTTGTTAACTTACTTACACATCATATCACAGGTGAAAATCATTGAGTCATCATCAATTAAAGGAAAATGTGAGTGTTTTGTGTTCTTAAATGACATTTATAAACAACTTTGATTAATATAATCTTAGCGATTAAGTCAAAACTTTAGACTCAACTTGCCTAAAGAAATGTTACAAACTAATTCATTATTGTGCACTTTAATTCACATTATGAACACTTAATATAATATACTGAACAACATACTAAAATACAAAAAATGTCATTCTTCAAGCCATGTTATTCTCCCCACAGAAGTAAATAAATAAGTTTCAAACTTTTAAAAAGCAAATGATTGTGTCAATACAATTTTGCAGTGTGTTTCTAATTTTAATGAATCATTCATATTGCATTCAGAAAAAGAATTCAGTCACTGGATGCAATGATCATATAAGGATTCAAAGCGTTTATTGTCATATGCCCAGTGAGGCCAGTGAGGAAACAAGTTTCCCTGAGCAATGAAATTCTTACTTTGCTGTCCACAATGAATGCCAAGACAATGCAAAACTATACACACACATACACAAACTATACACACATACATACATACATACAATGTAAGAAACATAATAATAAAAACTATGCTGCAGTAGTA